AGAGAGAGGAGAGGGACGCCTGGGTTGAGTCGTGAAGGGGAAGAGGAGGGGAGAGGGTGTGCGTAGCGTAGCCGTAGGTACGAAAGGAGGGAGGCGGCTGCGCTTATAATTGGTATGAAACCCTAATATTGGTTGAAACCGAACCAAACTCCATAATATCGGTTTGGTTCGGGTCATATTTATTTTCAACCGAACCGACCCGATTCGGTTCGGGTCGGGTCAGTTTTTCGAGTCGGTTCGGTTTCTTTCACCCCTATTGTGAAGCAATCAGTGAACAATTGCGTGTACCTCAAAATAATAACAATGATAACGTGTAGTTGCAAATATGCCAAAAACATTTAGTAGAATCAACAAAAATAACAATCATAATTAGTTTTTTCAAATATAGTACTTTAAAAAAAATGGATGTCCAATTTTAAAATGACAATTTTATCCAAATGATATACATTTGTAACATATGTGTAGTATATATATTAAATATTTAAAAAATGGAATCGRAGACAGGGTCGGGATATGCATTTCCTATTTTTAGGGCTGACCCTTGGAAAATATTTGTCATCCCTATTTCTTAACGTAGAGACATGAAAATACAAGTTTAGGTCATCGAATTCAAACCTTTTTTTAACCATGATATCTCCACAGTTTCCCTCAATTGAACTGCTTTTACATAGCCTCCCTCTTGTTTTTTTTTGTATATTTCTCACATACTCTTATGAATGAAATGATTTTGGTATCTTTTACAAAAAAAAAAAAGATTAAAACATCTACGTACTTCTTTATGGTTGGAATGCAACAACCTTCTCTTCTCAAAAGTTTCAAGGTCTCGTACTTCTCTTCGGGTGGACATCACTGTCAAGTGTCTCCAATTGGTCATCTAAATCAAGTGTCTTTTGTAATTATAAGAAAACTATCATTTCCCTATGTTGGAACGCCTTTATCTCTGATTTTTCCTATTGATATGTTTTTGTTTCTCATATACCTTCTAATTATGAAACGGTACCTTTTCCTCAAATAATAATAATAATAATAAAATAATAGAGAAATAAAAGTGTCATTTTCAAACTATCGACTAATTGAAAACCTATCTCAAAAGTGTTTTTATTCTTTTATTCTTTTTCATTTTGGGTTTTCCAATAATAACCGTTAAAAAACAAGCTGTGACATATGCATTATAATTTTGAAGTCGGTGACAATTAAGTTTTTCAAAAGTTTGAATTCAAAGACATCCAATTATACTTCATAACTTTAGAAGTTCAAAAAATTAATATATTTAATAATCAAAAGTTCCTTTCTTTATACAGCAATTCACAGCGTTGAGACATTTTTCTTCAATAGCTATTACTCATTAATAGATGATTCAAGTTGTGAGAATCAACAACTTTTGGAAATAATTATGCTAATAATTGTCAGAAGCAAACCCAGAGGGATCGGAAGGGCTTCACTTAGTGAAGGCATAAAGAAAAAGCAGAAATGGATAAAATAAAGAACAGAATTTTAATTTATTATTTTCGTGTAAATCACGTAAAGGGTAGGGCAGCGAGAGAGGTAATTTAAAAATGAAAATGGGAAGTAAAGTATATTCTGGAGCTGAAACAAGCCTTTAAACGCCATACCCAAATTAAATTAATAAAGTAGTTGAGTCGTTGTTATATATATCCATTATTTACTGTTTGCCAAATTATATTTGTGTTTCTTCCTTCATTTCACTCTACATTTCTCCGACCAACCCAAGCCAAACACAACAACTCTAATTACAGGTTCTCCTCCAACTGTATGCTTTTCTTCAACTTTTTTTTTTTTAATTACTAGTTAGAATTAGAACCCTACTTTCTAATGTATTCAAATAGTCATATAAATCCAACATTACATATATAAACTCATAAACTATAAATCTATATATTAAACAAGTTGGGCTTCAGACGTCTAAACTCTAAGGCTTATATTTTCTTAGTAAGATATTTGATCAGAATGATTATTTTTTAGTAAAATATAAGAAAATATTTTCGAATTGTTAGTTTTTGACAAGAGAGAGTAGTGCAGAAAGGATCAAGTGAGAAAGATCTTTTCATAAGTAACTAGTGGGAAATGTGCAAGTGTTGTAATACAACATAAACCCTAAAAATCAACCCATCAAAGCAGGTGTTGCAGGCGAAACAAGAGGCCAACAATCCAACCAAAATTTGAGCTTACTCAGCTGTGAGCTAATTGAAGTTGAGCTCTAATTTGTATATTCAATTAATCTGCGTTTGTAAAAGTCCGGTGGAATTGGACATTTCTCCGCCAAGCCAATAAGAACTTTAAAGATGTGTTTTGGAGTGATTTTGATAGAGCTAAAATCACTTTTTCTATTTTCGATGGATCTTGTGTAAATTAAAAAAAATTGATTTTGGAAAAACCTTATCACTCYAAATGGATTTTTAAAGTATTACTTAGGATGTGTTAAGTGTGTGTTTAGGGGTTCATTATCTAAGTGATACCTTAAAACTTAATTTAATTTAGAGTGATTTTAACTTTCCAAGAATTAATTTTCTAATTTACAAAATATGATTAGGGAGGATAATTTTGAGAATGACAAAAGTGATTTTAGGTGACTAAATCTCTTTTTTTAATATTACTTATTCTACCGTCACTCCTATTCTCCAACACGGTCTAAATCCAGCTGCTTTTCTTCTCATTTTTCTTTTTCCAACTGCAAGTTACTTCACCCCTTTGGCCTTTTAATTTATTCAGTGCGCTCGAAGCCTTGAAGTGGAGCCCGGGGAAGGCAACAACGTGACTCTGGGCACTGTATCAGAAGATGAAGAAGATGTGGAAATCAAAGTTATTCGTAATATGATGAAAGAACGCGATAGTTATCTGTTGTCTGAGCAAGAAAATTCTTCAAACATTAGGGGCACCGACGGCATTTTTAGAGTTCCGCTGGCTCTGTGGAGAGCGAACCCAAATGCTTTTATTCCCCAATTCATCCCCATCGGCCCTGTTCATGGTTTTCATAATAGTTATGGTTATGATCCGATAATTAGGAAAATGAAATTCTACTTTTTTCGAAATTTTGCTTCTACAGAAGTCGAGTTGAATAAGATTGTACGACTAGTCATAGGTTGTGAAAAAAGAGCTACCGAGTTTTACAAAATAGACATCAGAATGGGCAGAGCCGAGTTTTTGGAGTCCCTAATCTTGGATTGTTGTTTCGTGGTCATGTATATCCTCTCTTCTGTGGTCCCGTTGTTTCAGGACTTCGAAATGTCGTCGTTTTCTTGGAGATTCAACGATGCAATATTCAGAGATATGGTACTCTTTGAAAACCAACTCCCTTTCTTCCTTCTCCAGTCTCTATATGAACTCTGCGCCTTCAATAATTATCGATCTATACTTGGGGAGTTCTCTTTCATTCAACTTACTCACAAATTTTTTATGGCTCGTGAAGGGATTGGTTATCTTGGAAAAGATTTTAGGGTACTGCACGAGGATAAATTAGAAGTGAATCATTTTGTTCATTTTCTAAGTTATTATATGAACTCGTTGGACCACACAAGATGGCGCGTCGGGCCTAGCCTCGCAATTTGGCCACCCACTGCCACTGAGCTTTACGATTACGGCATTTCTTTCGAGAAGAAATCACATTATTCTCAAAAGATGTTTGATGAACGTGCCGGCATTCTCAGGCTGCCACACATCATAATAAACGAGACTTTCGAAAGCATGATCAGAAACATCATAGCTTTCGAGCATTGTCACCGCAAGAGACAGGTTGTAAGCAACTTTGCGATATTCATGCGTTTCTTGTTAAACTCCGATAACGATGTGATTTTGTTGATTAAGGAGGGGATTATACACAACCATTTGGAAAGCACAAAGGGAGTTACTAAATTGTTCCACGACCTTTGTGAGAACGTTGTGGTTGAAACAAATTTATACAACTATGAATGTAAGAGAATGAGAGAATACGGCAAGCACCGCCGCCATCGGTGGATGGCTTCGTTGAAACGCGACTATTTTAACACGCCATGGGCTTTGATCTCCTTCATCGCTGCCGTCGTCCTGCTTTTACTCACTCTCATGCAAACGGTGGTAGCTGTCCTCTCCATGCCTAAGTGAACCAGGTTAGTCCATTTTATTATAAACTCTTGCTACGTCATTTGTCTTTTCAATGTGCTATCATTAACGCAAATTCTCAATCCCACCATAGCTCAAGAAGCACTGCTTTCACCCAAATTTTACATTATGAACCAGGTTACTCTCTCAACCTCTTTTTGGTTTCATCAAAGTACGAATTCCCAATCCCACTATAGGTACTCTTATATTTGGACTTTTTATTCGATCACGATGAGAAAATTGAGTTCTTATTTTGAATATCAGGAGAAAATTAGAAATTAAAATTTGTACTTCGTGTGAATTTTATATTTTTTGTTGGGAGTTGTGACATGTGTAGTTTAGGTTACTTTTCTTTTAGTCTCTATTAATGTTAGATCTTATTTTTAATTTATTTTTGTAGCTGAAGAAAGATTAATAATCTTTGTAGGCCATTTAGGTTTTTCAAGCAAAAATAAAAAAGGAGAGAAATACAAGGCCTAAGTGTTGCGAACTTGAAGCCGCGTTTTTACAGACACGAATTTCAGGAAGAAGCTGCAACTAAAGGCTTTTTCTAAGGGAGAATCATTAATTTGTCTTCTTTATTTTCATTTTATTTATGTTTTGATTAGGTTCTTTGTAATTTTAGCTTAGTTTTTTAAACTACGAACTCTTGAGCTTTATGTATTTCTAATTAACTAAGTTATTTTCTTTGTTAAGTTAACATTCTGAACTCAATACCTTGTAGTTGACATGATTTTAGATTTTAGATTTCATGTGAGATTGAGGGAGTTGAATCCAACCTTATGTTTTGTTTAGCGAAGGAGATGCCTATGAATTCTATAGGTTATTCGAAACTTTGAGCATACATGTTTTTTTAGAAAGCGACAAACCATTCATTCAAAAATGTAGGTGAGAAACATACATAATATGTAGAGAAGAAGTAAAAGCACTCCATTCCAAAGAGATGGTGGAAATGTCATAATTACAAAAGAAGATGGATTTCGAGAACCAAGAAGAGGCAGCCATTTTTATGTCCTCCCACAGATTTACCACTGGTCTAGAAATGTCTGTGAAGAGGCAATAATTTATTTTCAGACAAATATACCAAAGGATTGAGCAAAAACCGCTACACCAAAGCACATCTCTACTAGTGGAGGGAGGAATATTAATATATTCCAAAATGACATTGTCGACTCTGATAGGAAGAGCTGTTGAGATATTAAAAATATCGAATAACCATCTCCAAATAATAGTAGCATACGAGCAATGAATGAAGAGAGATGATCCAGGGATTCACCATTCCGTTTACAAAGGGTACAACGGCTGGGATGAAGGAACAAAATAGGAATCCCGGCCCGTAGCTTAAATCTATCTCTTGCGCCATTCCAAATGATGTAATAAGATCTGCAAGATTGGGGGAGAGCTGGAAAATTGGAAGAGATTGAATCCCATAAGATTTTCTCCCTGTCGAGGAGGGATCTGCGAGGAGAAAAATTCCAGCCATGATCCAAATTATTCCAGGCGTCTTTTACTGATAAATACCTGCAGAGAGGGCAAAGAGATGCAGATAAAGAAATATAAACAGGCCCCAGTCCTGTCCAATTATGCAGAGTGTCATATCCATTCTCAATCTTCCAACTTATCTCACGACAGAAGGCCTTCCGTGCACTTTGCTATATGAAACCAGGGAGACCTCGAGCTGATATATTACTTACAAAACAAAGGGGCTTTTGCAGGCGACGTGGTAGTATATATAATTTGCATCAATAAGTAGAGATTTCCACAGGCTATCTTTCTCAGTGTGATATCTCCAAAGCCATTTCGTCAAAAGAGCAACAAATTAAGGTAAAATTAAAACAAGATAAAAACAGTGGTTTTGAGTACCTATTGGGAGGCGATAGAACAGAGAATCGGGTTTGAAGAAAAGTGAAGAGAATGAGGAAGGTAGCAGCAACAAAGGAAGAAATATATACAAGATCATGGAGTATTGAAATAGAGGCTGTTTCATTCTTCTGAATTAAGTAGCCGTTTGGGAACTCGATAGATGCTGCATTTTGTATTGATATAGGAGGCAGTTCCTTTAGCATTTTTTTTAATGGATATGGTGACATCACAGCCGTGAGAAGTAGATGGAGTAAAGAGGAGTTAAATTAGTGTTGCAGAAAATGTTACCGCAAGTGTACGGGTCAAGCTTTAATAAAAGTGATAAGTAATTACCCATATCCGTCTACTGGATTGGGTTTCTAGTCACTCAACTACTACGGATATTAATGTCCAATTTTATCTAGAGAAACAATAAGAAACTCTAAAGAAAACTCTTATGGATAACGGATCATAGGGAAGTGATTTCACCAATTGACCTGCAAGCGGATAAATTAAACATGCCAAGATCATTGAATATGCAATTAATCTATGAGTCAAGAACTCAAGAATCATGAAAGTCTCTCCCGAGCACAATTAATTCTCCCACTTATTAAGAAACTAATATCCCTATCTAATTTCATTAACAAGCAAGCCCTTAAGTCTTAGTCTTTTAACAACCTCTGAGGTAATTCTAAATCTCCCGATCTTAGAACTACCCCAGTCATGCATTCAGGTTTCAATCTAAACCACCTCTCCCGAGAGCGTAAGATTCAGATTTAGCAACAATTAATCCGTGATCAAGAGATTAAAAGCATTAAGCAAATAAATGCACAAATAGATTAAAAACAAATCAATCAATACAAATGTTAATAAATCCAACTCATAAATCAAACGGCTACGTCAATCCCTAGAATAAGAATACTCATGTTCACGAAAATACAACAAAATCCCACAAAGAATTTCACAATAAATCTAGAAAAGATAAGGGATAAGAGAGAAACTAAAGTCATAGTGTCGATTGAACGTCCCTGACTCAATCTCCACGATCACGAGCCTTCAAAAATCGTCTCCTCGCCCTTCTTGCCTCCAATCTCGAGCCAATACTCTCCAATTTCCAATTCTCCCATGTAAGAGTCCCCACCCACCCCTCCAAACGGCGCACTCAAATTTCTTTTAAGTTAGGGAAACGCTACAGTGCCATGGCACTACAATACAGCGCTGCGGCGCTGTCATAGCGGAAAAATGCCCAAGCTTCATCTGCAGGGCGCCATGGTGCTGTATACTAGCACTGTGGCACTGCTTCTTCGGGATTTTGCTACAAATTTAGATCTGCAGGCGCCATGGCGCTGCGGCGCTGATGTCGCTTAATTAAGCTCCTCTTTTTCGCTATAGTTTTCCCTCAATCGAACTAATGACTTGATCCTATAAAAACATCAGTTATGCATATTGTTGGGATATAATGGAGACAAAATAATTATTATAGATTATTGGGCCAAAATAGTCACACCTCATAGCTTGTCCTTGTTTTCATTAGGTTTAATGACCTAATATTAATACACATGATGGAGGATTTTTATGCCACTTCGTCGTGAGTGATAGAAACCAAAAAGAAAAAAAAGGGTGACGGCTAGTTTGTGTTGGTGCACAAATTGTAAGGTGGCGGCAGTGTTTTGGTTGGCAGAGGAAGAAAAGAGAACTTGATTTGTAGAGTGTTGTCGGCAGCATGTTCTCTTGAGGTTAGTGAGGTTTTTCGTTTTGTATTTCTAAGTATCTATTGGCGTAGTGCTTAGAAGCTAGTTGGCCATTGTTGTGGCATCTAGAGAGTGCTTTGTAGAGCGTTTGTGAGGTCCATTGTATTTATCCCAAAATCATAGTAGAACCCGTTGTTGCGGAAGACTGGACGTAGCCCACAGTTGGGGTGAACCAGTATAAATTGCTTGAGTCGTTTTCTGTGTTTTTCTCTATATATTTGCATATTGTGGTTGTGTTTGGATATTTTCTGTGGAAGGAGAAATTATACAGGATAGTTAATTTCCCAACAAGTGGTATCAGAGCGTAGGTTTCAGAGTCATGGGAGACAAATATCAAGCACACCATTACTATGAAGGGGTTTTGAAGTTCAGTGGAGAGAATTTCAGTTTTTTGGAAGATGCAAGTAAATGATCTTCTTACGTGCAAGAAGATACACAAGACTTTGGGTGAGAGACCAGCGGATATGACAGACAAAGCTTGGAATGAGATGGATGAGCAGGTCGTTGCAAATATCAGAATGGCATTATCAATGGGGGTATGCAGCCTCGTGGCGAAAGAGACGACTGCAAAAGAGTTATTGAAGGTCTTGCAAGATAGGTATGAAAAACCTTCTGCCAATACAAAAATATTTCTATGGACCAAGTATTTTAACATCCACATGGAGGAGGGAACCTCGGTGAATTCCCACATTAATGAGCTCACCGATATCTTGAACAAATTAGAAGGGATGGGTGTCAAGATTGAGGAGGAGGTGAAAGCTATGAGGCTGTTGACGTCTTTGCCTGACAGTTGGGAGACGATGAAGACTGCGGTGTCGAATTCGCTAGGAGAAAATAGCTTGAAATTTTTAGCTATTTGTGATGCCGCCTTATCTGAGGAAGCCCGGAGAAAATTAGGAAAAATGTCTGTAACTACTTTAGGGGCAGAAAATGGGGTTGAATCAGCTTTGGTAGCTCAGTTTAAGGGGAAGGGCAAGATGAAGTACAACGGGAAGCAGCAACATAGGAATAATAGGGGTAGTGGAAATTCCAGTGGAGAAGTTGAATGTTTTTACTGCCATAAGAAAGACCACTTCAAGAAACATTGCAGGAAGCTTAAAGAGGATCAGGAAAATGAGGACACTTTAAATTACGTGTCAGCGGAGGTGTTAGCTTGTATTGAAGGTAACACAACACCTGTAGACCGTTCATCAGAGTGGATAGTGGACAGTGCAGCTTCGGTGCATGTAGCTTCAGACAGGAGTTGGTTCACGTCCTTTACTGTAGGAAATCATGGTGTAGTAAGGATGGGAAATGGGAGACTCTCCAAGATCAGAGGAATTGGGGATGTTCGTTTGAGGACTGACAATGGGACCGAGCTAGTTTTGCATGGTGTCAGGTATGTACCCAGTTTCATGATGAATTTGATATCAGCAGGGAAGCTGGATGACGAAGGCTACAGAAGTGAGTTTGCAGAGAATAGATGGAAACTCATGAGGGGATCCGAGATAGTGGTTGTTGGCCACAGAAAAGCTTCAGTGTATGTGTTGAGGTTTGATGTTGCCAGAGGATTAGAGAGACAAGTTATGCACAGGGCTGCAGATAGTTCAGGAGGAGACTTGAAAGAACTAGCAGCATTGACAGTCAGAACAGATCAGAAGAATCTGCCATCAGTTCAAGTACAATAGCTGGAAAGTAGAGGAAAGGGAAAGGGGAACAGCTTAGTGAGGTGTTCGACAGACTGTCAGTTTCGAGCCCCAGTTGTCAGACGGATTAGCGAGCTGATGAAGTCGCGTAGGCGAAAGGGTGCATTGAGAAAGACTACAGTTGGTGCTGAGGTCGATGGTGAAGTCTCTAGAGTGGCAACGAACTTGGGTGGAAGTGTCAAGTCATCAGAGAAATCTTTCTTCAAGAGTCGTTGGGTGCGAGTGAAGAAGGAAGCGTCAGAGACCACTTAGTTCGAGTGGGAGCA